GTTGTTTTCATCCTTCTTCTTCCTCCAAACACGGCGAGTGGAGTTTAGACCAACAAGCTCTATTTTTGTCTCATCAGAACAAATGACCTTCTCCCATTCCTCCTCTGGATCATCCAGATGGTCATTGGCAAACTTCAGACGGGCCTGGACATGCGCTGGCTTGAGCAGGGGGACCTTGCGTGCGCTGCAGGATTTTAATCCATGACGGCGTAGTGTGTTACTAATGGTTTTCTTTGAGACTGTGGTCCCAGCTCTCTTCAGGTCATTGACCAGGTCCTGCCGTGTAGTTCTGGGCTGATCCCTCACCTTCCTCATGATCATTGATGCCCCACGAGGTGAGATCTTGCATGGAGCCCCAGACTGAGGGTGATTGACCGTCATCTTGAACTTCTTCCATTTTCTAATAATTGCGCCAACAGTTGTTGCCTTCTCACCAAGCTGCTTGCCTATTGTCCTGTAGCCCATCCCTGCCTTGTGCAGGTCTACAATTTTATCCCTGATGTCCTTACACAGCTCTCTGGTCTTGACCATTGTGGAGAGGTTGGAGTCTGTTTGATTGAGTGTGTGGACAGGTGTCTTTTATACAGGTAACGAGTTCAAACAGGTGCAGTTAATACAGGTAATGAGTGGAGAACAGGAGGGCTTCTTAAAGAAAAACTAACAGGTCTGTGAGAGCCGGAATTCTTACTGGTTGGTAGGTGATCAAATACTTATGTCATGCAATAAAATGCAAATTAATTACTTAAAAATCATACAATGTGATTTTCTGAATTTTTGTTTTAGATTCCTTCTCTCACAGTTGAAGTGTACCTATAATAAAAATTACAGACCTCTACATGCTTTGTAAGTAGGAAAACCTGCAAAATCATCAGTGTATCAAATACTTGTTCTCCCCACTGTGTGTGTGTATATATATATATATATATATATATATATATATATATATATATATATATATATATATATATATATATATATATATTATTTCTTAGATTTATACCCCAATTTTGTGATATCCAATTGGTAGTTACAGTCTTGTCCCATCACTGCACTCCCGACGGAGGTCGAGAGCCAGCGTCCTCAGAAACACGACCCTGCCAAGCCCCACTGCTTCTTGACACACTGCTCGCTTAAACCGGAAGCCAGCCGCACCAATGTGTTGGAGTTTACACCATACAAGTCGCTAGAGCGCGATGGGACAAGGACATCCCGGCCGGCCAAACCCTCCCTACCCGGACGACGCTGGGCCAATTGTGCACCCGCTCATGGGTCTCCCGGTCGCGAACTGGCCCGGGGATCGACAACCTGGGTCTGTAAGTGACGCCTCAATTCATGCCGCCACTCGGAGAGGCATACGGTGCCTTTTTGCTAGTATATAAAACGTTTAACAATTGTAAATTAGAACTAGTTAAGCAAGTATTTGTTTTTGTCATACCCATGGTAAAACAGGCGGCAGGTAGCTTAGTGGGTGAGGAGCGGTGTGCCAGTAACCAAAGGTACGCTGGTTCTATCCCGAGCCGGACTAGGTGAAACATCTGCCGATGTGCCCCTTGAGCAAGGCACTTTAACCCCATTGGCTCCTTGTAAAGTTCGCTCTGGATAAGAGCGTTCTGCTAAATGACCTAAAATGTAAAATGTATAAAAAAAAATGTAAACGGTCTGATATACCACAGCTTTCAGCCAATCAGCATTCAGGGCTCAACCATCTGGTTTATAATATACCATAGACTGTAAGGAGTGACTTGAAGTAGCATCAGAGGTAAATGTCTGAGTGTTTTACTGTATCTCTTACAGATGACACTGCTCTGTCCTGTTAAGAGCATTGGTCAATTGCACACAAGGTCCAACCAAAATGTGACTTTTGCTTTTAACCCAATCCATCCGAAAGACACACATGCATACAGATACAAGTTGTATTGGAGAGGTGCGGGGGGCTGCAACACTGGGCGCCCGGGGAGCTGCTGTGATTTGATACCAGCAACCCTCCGGTTGCCAGCTCACTTCCCAACAGATTTTTCCTGTCGGACCCGGGATTCGAACTGGCAACCCTCCGGTTGCTGGCTCGCCTCTCTAACCGCTAGGCTACCTGCCGTACAGTCTACTCCCTTATGAGGTACATCAGCCTTGGGGGCGATGTGATAAAGACTACGGTCATTAGGTTGATGATGTTTATCTGGCCCATCCATCATTTACACTAAAAAATACCTGCTTCATCCCTCATAGTTGTGGCAACTATCACATTTTCGTGATATCCAATTTTGTTGGAGGAAACACCATACAACTGGCGACCGTGTCAGCGTGCATGCGCCCGGCCCGCTACAGAAGTCTCTACAGCATGGTGGGACAAGGACATCCCGGCTGGCCAAACACTCCCCTAACCTAGACGACGCTGGGCCAATTGTGCATCGCCTCATGGTCAAGGCCGGCTGCGACACAGCCCGGGATCGAACCCGGATCTGTAGTGACGCCTCAAGCACAGCGATGCAGTTACTTAGACCGCTGCGCCACTCGGGAGGCCAGTTAACTTGAATGTACGTTCTAATTATATTTTTCAAAGCAGAAGCAAATGAACCATTTCAGCAGGATACACTCATAACTGCACACATACCTATATATAACTGCACACATACATATATATATATCACACACACACACACACACACACACAGGGTAGCCAGCCAGGCAGGGCTCACTCCAGGAGATAAGAGCAGCACTGCAGAGAGGGTCTGATTCATGGACCTGTCTAGCATCAGGACCTTCTGTTTTTAGCCTATATTTTTTTCTATAGCACTGGTTGTCATTTATCCATCTGCCTCAAAGGTTTTATGTTTATAGAGTCACAGCTTTAAGTCTGTCGGCCCTATATAGGCAGCTCAGAAAGCTGGAGTCATTCACCATTGGGTTACAATGCTCCATTCAGTATATCAGGTTGGGGTCAACTTTTATGGTGCTCTTTTTGAGCCGTTTGTGGATGCAGCATTGTTTTGTTTTTTTAGTGCCCAAAATCCCTGACTTTTCTCTTCTTCTTTTAGTGCCCTTTTATATCGGTTAATTGTTGCCATGCCTCATTATACACAGTTCCACAGCAGCCTCTCCCCATCCCCCAGGTTCCGAGCTGGGGGATGAAAGGTTACAGTACATGGTCAGTGCCCTGAGAAGTTACATTTAGCTAGTCTGGGAGAGCCTAGCTGGGTTACTAAACTGAACTATGACCCCCTCAGAGTCACAGCAGGACGGGACAGCCACACCTGTGACAAGTGACATTAGAGGGGCCCTTGTGCTGCCTGAATGGAGGGCGAGGTGTGAGGCTAGGAGAGGGAATGTAGTGAATTGTCTACATTTAGCCATGAAGCGAGAGAGAGATGGGGGAGAAATGGGGGCCTTTTAAAAGACTGGATGAAATGCAAATTAGTTAATCAAAACCCCATTCTGTAATGCCGTCGCTGTAATTTATTATTATGTGAGCCAGCCTTGTCTCTGTGCAAAAGTGACAGGGTTAAGGGTTCAGATGCTTGTGCACGTGCGCTCACCATCTGCAAGACTGTTTGGGGCAGATAATTACAAAAAGCTTTTGGTGTGCGTGAGAGTGCCCGTTAAAAAAAACCTGGCTAAAAAAACAGCCTATCTCCTCCTTGCTCAATGAAGATAATTTACTAGCTCGTTCCATCAGACAAGGATCTATAATTGAAATGACAAAGAAGATGTATCGCTACGCAGTTGTTAGTGTTGGAAGCCATGAATTTCAGCCTAGTATCTGACACCTTGCTCCCCCAGACCTGTCACTCACACAGGCCTCAATCAGCCTATGTGGAAGGGAGGCTGCTGGGTTTGGGTGAAGGGGGTCGAAGGTGGGGTGGGGAGGCAGTGAGGCGTGATGCTGTATCGACCCCATCGACCTGTAGGGGGGGTGGAAGAGGTGGGGTAGAGAGGGATGAGACCAGAGGAGAGGTAGCGGAACCTGCAATCCTCCACAGACTAACACTACTCTTTCAGACACCCAACCTTTGCCGTATTCCTCCTGTTAGATATAAAGTGTCATGAACATTTCTCCAGTATTGTACATATTCAACAGTCCCTGTTCTTTTATCTATCTAACGCCATGCTGTTATTACAACCTTTTGTAATAAATAAATAAAGCTTCAGCCACATAAATGCCTCGGTATCAGGCCAGTTTAAGTGGCTGAGCTGATAGACCGACAGGGGCAGGATCCTAACAGTAGCCTGAGGGTAGCCAGATCTCTGGACACATCCAGGGAAGGAGACTGGTTCTCTGGGTCTGGGCCAGCAGGGTAGCCAGTCAGATAAGGGTTCAGTCAGATCGGGTGTAATGCCAAGAGAAGGTTCAGAGTCCGACTCTTGAGTGTCTGCTTCTATTGAAAAACAGTAGTCAGACGGACAAACGGTACCATGTCCAGTCAGTGATTGAATGGCCCTGGGCCCCGTCCCGGCACATCCATCTTGTAGAGGAGACAGACACGGCCTGGGATTCTGACGGCCAGCCGATTTAACACCAGACTGGCTTTGGAGAGGGACTGTGATTCCTCAGCTCCCTGTCTCTGTCTCTCTCTGTCTCAGTGATGTCTGACTGCACTGACCGCAGGGTGAATGAGATTGTTGATTTAAGTGTGTGTGTGTGTGTGTGTGTGTTCGCACATCACATAGCCCAGTTTGTTAAATTACAATCCGTAATAAATCTGTGTTCATGTATTGAGTTATCTTCCCATTAATAATCATAGAGTTAATAAATACTATTTATGTGTTTCCCAATAGGTGGAGCCAGCCCAACGCTGATGATCTGCCAGGTAGGCTAATATCTGATCTCTCGTCCTCATCGAGAAGACTACAGATGTATGGGTTTTAATTAGCCCAAGTGTGATCTTCAACTCTCAGCAATTATGAGAAAGAGAAAACACTGTTTTATTTGAAATCTTATGAGATGCTTGTCCTGCTGGTGTGTACAAATCTCATTGTCTTTCGTCCGTGTGTGTGTGTGTGTGTAGGTACAGGGTGTGATCACTCTGAAGCGGGGCTCCTTCAAGACAAACCACGATGAAAAGAATAACCAGGTCCTCTCCATGGACTGGCTGCCTGTCAAACCTCACAACATCCTGGCTGCTGGCTTCTATGATGGTATGACTACCACACATCATAGTCCAGGATGCCTTTGAGGTGTCACTGTGAAACGGGTGTCCTGTGGTGTCACTGTCACTTTTGGCCCAACTTCAACCCTTTAGTCAGTGAGCCTACAGACTCGTATCCAGATAATCCTCCAGCTGTAGTACATGTCCTGTTGTCTTCCCGCTGCAGGTACGGTGGCCCTGTGGGACCTGTCCAGTAAGTCTATTCTGCAGCGGGTGCGTGCTCCAGACCGCTCCTTCACCCTCTACCCCTACCACTGCTTCATCGCCCACGACAATGCCACCCGTGCCCTCAGCTTCTGCCACGCATCCAGGTAAACAGCCAATCAGAGTGATGGATTCAAGGACCTGTCTCAAACCACTAGGTTCTGAAAGTCTGCCCTGCAACACGACCAACTGCACCAAAGCTGTAGCAAAAAACCCATGCAGTATGACTTCAATCCATAGTGTGAGACTTTTAATTTTTTACTTTTATCCCTTTTTCTCCCCAATTGGTAGTTACAGTCTTGTCCCATCGCTGTAACAACCCTACGGACTCAGGAGAGGCGAAGGTCGAGAACCATGCGTCCTCCCTAACACGACCCTGCCAAGCTGCACTGCTTCTTGACACACTGCTTGCTTAACACCGGAAGCCAGCCGCACCAATGTGTCGGAGGAAACAGCTTGCAGGCGCCTGGCCCGCCACAAGGAGTCGCTAGAGCGCGATGGGACAAGGAAATCGTGGCCGGCCAAACCCTCCCCTAACCCGGACGACACTGGGCCAATTGTGCGCCGTCTCATGGGTCTTCCGGTCACGGCTTATGTAGTCTCACACTATGGGGGCCTCCCGAGTGGTGCAGCGGTCTAAGGCACTGCATCGCAGTGCTTGAGGCGTCACTACAGACTCTGGGATCAAACCCGGATGCTGTGCCTTAGACCGCTGTGCCACTCGGGAGGCCCCCATAGTGTGAGACTACATAAGGCTCAGAGACCAGAGCCACCCGCCATCATTACCATTCTGAGCATGTAGAACGTAAAAAGCAGTGACCTTCTGGCTGTGAGCTCCGCTCTGCGCCATGTGGCTGTCTGAGTCTGCTGGAGCGAAGCTGGGTGGTGCAGGGAGGGAGGGAGAGCAGGGAACAGTGGGAGGTGGATGAAGCCAAGTGTGACTCTCACCCCGTATCTCGCTACCGCTCCAGATTTCTAATAAACATACACTTTTACACACTCTCACGGCTCATGATGATAGCTACAGCTCTGCAATTGTAATAAACACACACTCTCTCTCAGCTAAAACACATTCCCATTTACCTTATTGGAGGATGGAGGGGGAGCGGAGAGGTACACAGATGGTGGATCTGTGGGCAGAGAGGAGGGGAATGAAGATGTTGTTGTGACTTGTGTAAACATGTCAACGTGTGAGGGTAGAGGAAGGGAGTGGAGGGGGGCACTCAGCTGTCAATCCTGCCCCACTCCAGATGCTCTGTTGGGGACAGACTCTAGAGGGTACGTCCTTATGGCCAGGGGCCGGACCATCCTGGTCATATAGTCTCATGAAGTAAGTGGCAGCACGCTAATTGAGCTCCAGACACCGCCATACAAAACAGCCTCTCTGGAAGTTTCACACCTATCATGGGGAGAGTAATGTCTTAGAGCTCTCTGTTACCGTAACAGTGTGTTCATGATCACATCCCCATGGACTAAAGGGATGGGATCTACCCCTGGTCTGGTCTCAAACAATACCACTCAGTTTACTGGCTAGTGCTCAGTGCCTGCCCTTCCCTCTCATAGCACCCCCTGTAGGAAAGTGTAGAAGAAGCATGCCATGCATCTCCTATGTAACAAGAGCAGAGAAATCGAATTGGCTAGCTAGGAGAGTTAGAAGGCAAGGTGTTCCTCCTCTCATCTCACTCATCAGTCTGCTGCATACTGAACAACCACCAGCAGCTTATAAACCAGCTTTATTAGAACTCTGTAAAGATCTGCAGCAGTATCATGAGTCACAGGTTAGAGTGCAACATTGATAGACCATAACAGCGGGTTATTCTCCAGTCTATGGGCTGGTGTTATGGAGACACTCGGGCCCCGCTGGGCTGTTTGGTAGGGGACAGACTGCAGGCATCCATCTTATCTGGCTGGCTGGGTTTTAATGAGGGACAATGAAGAGCTACTGTACAGGACACTGGGCTGGCAGACTGGAGCTGTCCCCTCCCACCGTTCTTCCTCCTTCATTTCCCTCTCTTTTGTGATTAGACTGTCTGCCATCTTCTCTCTGCCTTTTCTACTCTCTATCAGCTCCACTAATGTCTTTCCTGTCCTCCCTCCTGCTGTTCCTTCCTCTCCTTATCCCCTCATCTCGTCTCCTCTCTCCTCTGCCCTTCCTTCTCCTAGAGACCTCATGGTGACGGCGGGTGATGACAGGTTGGTGAAAATGTGGGACCTGAGGAGGACCTGGGAGCCCTGCCAGTCCTTCAAGCGCTTCCTCTCCACCGAGGCAGCCTGGCCCCTGCATTGGGCTGGTGTCTTCATCTCTCAGGAGAGCGCCTACGCCACGTGAGTCCCTCTCTCCTCTCCTCCCTCCGATTCAATCATATCTTACCTCTCCATTGTCATCTCCTACCCCCCCTCACTTTCCCCTCCGTGCGTCTTTTGCTTGTGTAATCAATACCTTGTGAGGGGTGTTCTATTCTGTTCTATTGTATTGTGCTTTGTTCTTGGTCTGTTTTGTCAGGGGACATGTTTAATTTCTCGTGTCCCCCTTCAGGTTTGGCCAACATGGACTCAATTACTTTGACTCAGGGTATCTGGGCTTCAAGCCACTCTTTCTGGTGCCACGGAAAGGGACCATGTGGGTAAGTGGGAAACTGGGACAGAAACACGACCAATTCCACTGTAGTCCCTACCCCTATTCACTTCTATAGACTGCTTATACCTATCAAATCCTTCCATATCTATTTTAGTGCAGAGGGAATAGGGACGAGGGGTTGAGTTGATATTGGGCTGCACAATATTTATTTGTCCAACCCCCTTCCTTGTGTTGATTGGTCCGTCTTGGTATTTCTGCAGAGCCTGTCTATCTCTGATTGGCTGAACACGGCTGTAACGGCAGACACAGTGGGAGATGTGATCATGGTCCTACTACCCAACCTGTTCAACAACCCCTGCTACCTCAAACGATCCATCGATCGCAGATTCGTACGTACCCTGTCCAGCCCGGCCTCGCACAACACATAGATATCTCCAAAAACGGCATTTCTAAAGTCACCATTACAAACCGGGTGGTTCTAGCCCTGAATGCTAATTGGCTGAAACCTGTGGTATATCAGACCGTATACCACGGGTATGACCAAATATTTATTTTTACTGTTCTAATTACGTTGGTAACCAGTTTATAATAGCAATAAGGCACCTCAGGGGTTTGTGGTATATGGCCAATATGCTACATCTAAGGGCTGTATCCAGGCACTCCGTGTTGCATCGTGCATTAAAACAGCCCTTAGCCGTGGTATATTGGCCATATACCACAAACCAACGAGGTGCCTTATTACTTAATTATACCTTTTGTATACTTTATATTTCATGACATTGACTTACACAACAAGGACTACAGTATGAATGTTTTTAATCGAAATGGGTCCATCTTTTCTCTTAAATCACATTTCTTTTATTCTTTTCAGCCGGTGTTCAGAACCGAAATGGTCCAATTGAAAGAAGGAGTTGAGGAGAATGAGGGTGGAGTTGGAGAGGAAGGAAGTGGTTCCACTAGTAATGGAACGTCCCATCATATACCTCAGACCTACAGAGAGACAGCCAATAAGTACTACCTCCACTACCACGACATGGACATGGTGGGTCAGGGTTAAAACAGAGGAAGGAGATAGTGAAGATATTGTCTGTTGGGGGGAGGGGGGGGGCTCTGTTCCTGCTACATCTCAGCGCAATCTTCGGCTGTTTGTGTGTGTTAAATGATGGGATACCGGGTGTGCTCGCTCTAAGCGCAAGACTGCCTAAGCTCTGCATTGTAGGGGATTGTGTGTGTTTGTGTGTCAGGACCAGACTGCAGTCTGAGCAGCTGATGACACACACCAATACACACAGTGTGTTTATGCACAGAGCACATGTGGCCTGCTAGGTCCAATAGATGTATTAGTTGAGTTATATCTCAGACACACCTGATGGAACTGGAGGGTCCAGGGCGCATCTGCAAACGCCATCCCTGCTCACACACTGGTGCCGTCGGTTTCCACGACAACCCAGCAGTGCACCTAGCCGTGGCCCTTAGTGACGGCCGACTCCTGGGTTAGGACTTGATTAAGTGTTGCACCCTTCATTAATTTATACCGCCCCTCCTTCCCCCTCTCCCCTCTCTATGGCTCCTCCATCTGTTCCCCTGCCTTCCGCTCCACCGGCCCTGTCACTGCCCTGCACACACACACACATACACACACACACACACACACCTCACATACCACCCCGAGTCGCCATGGCCTAAGCACGTCCATTACCCACAACCCACCAGGCCAGGGCCCACTTACCTCTGACGTATGTCACCTGACCAGGGCCTGTTGTTAGCGTGGGAGGTGGGGGATGTCTTGTCCAGGGCAGTGGAGTTTATTCCTGCTTCTTGACATAACACTCCACTTACTCAAACCCTGAGAGAAGAGCTACAGTGGGGATAAAAAGTATTTAGTCAGCCACCAATTGTGCAAGTTCTCCCACTTAAAAATATGAGAGAGGCCTGTAATATTCATCATAGGTACACGTCAACTATGACAGACAAAATGAGAGAAAATTTTCCAGAAAATCACATTGTAGGATTTTTTATGAATTTATTTGCAAATTATGGTGGAAAATAAGTATTTGGTCAATAACAAAAGTTTCTTAATACTTTGTTATATACCCTTTGTTGGCAATGACACAGGTCAAACGTTTTCTGTAAGTCTTCACAAGGTTTTCACACACTGTTGCTGGTATTTTGGCCCATTCCTCCATGCAGATCTCCTCTAGAGCAGTGATGTTTTGGGGCTGTCGCTGGGCAGACTCAAGGGCGGCGCACAATTGGCCCAGCGTCGTCCAGGGTAGAGGAGGGAATGGCCGGCAGGGATGTAGCTCAGTTGATAGAGCATGGCGTTTGCAACGCCAGGGTTGTGGGTTCGATTCCCACGGGGGGCCAGTATATATAAAAAAAAAAAAAATGTATTCACTAACTGTAAGTCGCTCTGGATAAGAGCGTCTGCTAAATGACTAAAATGTAAATGCAACACAGACTTTCAACTCCCTCCAAAGATTTTCTATGGGGTTGAGATCTGGAGACTGGCTAGGCCACTCCAGGACCTTGAAATGCTTCTTACGAAGCCACTCCTTCGTTGCCCGGGCGGTGTGTTTGGGATCATTGTCATGCTGAAAGACCCAGCCACGTTTCATCTTCAATGCCCTTGCTGATGGAAGGTTTTCACTCAAAATCTCACGATACATGGCCCCATTCATTCTTTCCTCTACACGGATCAGTCGTCCTGGTCCCTTTGCAGAAAAACAGCCCCAAAGCATGATGTTTCCACCCCCATGCTTCACAGTAGGTATGGTGTTCTTTGGATGCAACTCAGCATTCTTTGTCCTCCAAACACGACGAGTTGAGTTTTTACCAAAAAGTTATATTTTGGTTTGATCTGACCATATGACATTCTCCCAATCCTCTTCTGGATCATCCAAATGCACTCTAGCAAACTTCAGACGGGCCTGGACATGTACTGGCTAAAGCAGGGGGACACGTCTGGCACTGCAGGATTTGAGTCCCTGGCGGCGTAGTGTGTTACTGATGGTAGGCTTTGTTACTTTGGTCCCAGCTCTCTGCAGGTCATTCACTAGGTCCCCCCGTGTGGTTCTGGGATTTTTGCTCACCGTTCTTGTGATCATTTTGACCCCACGGGGTGAGATCTTGCGTGGAGCCCCAGATCGAGGGAGATTATCAGTGGTCTTGTATGTCTTTCATTTCCTAATAATTGCTCCCACAGTTGATTTCTTCAAACCAAGCTGCTTACCTATTGCAGATTCAGTCTTCCCAGCCTGGTGCAGGTCTACAATTTTGTTTCTGGTGTCCTTTGACAGCTCTTTGGTCTTGGCCATAGTGGAGTTTGCAGTGTAACTGTTTGAGGTTGTGGACAGGTGTCTTTTATACTGATAACAAGTTCAAACAGGTGCCATTAATACAGGTAACGAGTGGAGGACAGAGGAGCCTCTTAAAGAAGAAGTTACAGGTCTGTGAGAGCCAGAAATCTTGCTTGTTTGTAGGTGACCAAATACTTATTTTCCACCATAATTTGCAAATAAATTCATAAAAAATCCTACAATGTGATTTTCTGGAAAATTTTCTCTCATTTTGTCTGTCATAGTTGACGTGTACCTATGATGAATATTACAGGCCTCTCTCATATTTTTAAGTGGGAGAACTTGCACAATTGGTGGCTGACTAAATACTTTTTTCCCCCCACTGTACCTTGGCCTCAATCTGTCTCCCCAGCTGTCCAGTGTGGGAAACATGCTAAGGTTGATGCTTTGAGAGGGGTCACAGAGGGCTGTGGCATTTTACCATGGGCCACTGTTACAGTATCGGTCAGTAGAGATGTGGAGCATTAATGCAGAGATAGAAATAGTCAAAAAAATGAATTTAGAAATTCATCTTAATTTAGTTTGTGATACAGTGAGTATTGTATGATAGCTCTGTGTTTGGGTGTTTCAGTTTTGTGGTGTTTTAGCTTGTAATTAAGACTATTGAACTCTTTCTCTTCCAGAGAACGTTTAAGAATGTCCAGAACCGAGCTCCTTGGAAGCACATGCAGGCTGCAGAGGCCAAAGGGGGACTGGGTCTGGACCTAATGCCTTTGGCTTCACTAACTAAGGTATGTCTAAGATCAAAACACATGATTCTCTGACTGCATTCATTTACATTGACATTTTAGTCATTTAGCAGACGCTCTTATCCAGAGCGACTTACAGTTAGTGAATGCATACATTATTTTATTTTTTTCATAATGTGGGAATCGAACCCACAACCCATTCCACCTTGAACAGCTCTTTCATAGTAATGTTTTTCATTGCTGGAGCAGCCAAGCTGAAAGCTGTGTGAATGTGATCTCTGTGACTAAAGTTATCATCTGAAGGGCCACAGCGACTCCTTGACAAACATTTCCAGTGGAGGCGCTGTGCTATAACAGTGATAGCAGCCCATGGATTGGTCATGGAGCCAGTCAGTGACTCTAGATTAGTGGTAATAGAAATATCAGTAGTGGTGTTATCTAGTCTAATGATCCTGGCCAGGCAGGATTAAGCTGTGGATTGAGTAGATCTCCTGATTGGGAATCGATGAGCTGGGTAAAGAGTTGCATTGGAGCTCAACGCTGATGTCAGAGTGCATTAGCCCTCTCTAACTTAATTGCAGCCATGGCTTCAGAGAGCAGAGCTGTGTATTTGGTCGCATTAAAGTAACTGTCCAGTGTTTCCAATTTCTATGAAATATAACCTATCATTAATTACACTGAGTTAAATAGTTTTCCAGGCCAAAAATTGTGATTTAAGTATGTTAAAAAGCAGCTTTTCTGTATTGGAATGGTGTGGGGGTACCCTAAGAATGGTGTGGGCATATACCGGTCATAAAAAATATGAATGCGAGTATACCGCTGATTGGCCAGCTCATTCTCCCCAGGAGGATGACATCCTCTATGAAGAAATAGCAAGCAAGTTTGAGGTGATATTTTAAAAAGTTCTCCAATTTATGCTTTGGCTACAAATACGAGTATATGATGAGTCCGCAATATAATCTGGGTATTAGTTAACAGAATATGCCCATTTAAAAATTTCACGGGACAGTTACTTTAACAACAGACTTAATCAATCTCCACTGTCAAGCACCTACACTGTTATTTATTGGTTGACAGGCTCACCTTATTTCTAGTTGTGGATGTGTGACTGTTGAGTTGAGGACATGAATTCTCCTTGAAGGTCAATAAACATAATATTGTCATTTGTATCCAGTTAGTTGCACATGCAGAAATCCAACCTACAAGTCTGGTGTCGCAAACACCATGCTTCAAACAACTGAGCCATCTCTAAATGATCCTAAATCATAATCTGTGTGCTCTGACTGTTCCCACCATGTTCTCCTTCTCCTCTTTATAGGTCCGTTTCAACCCCAACCTGTGTGCCCAGAGCTGGGTGTTGTCTGGGGGCCAGGCGGGCCTGGTAAGAGCCCACTGCCTCAGGGCCATGAACAGCTCTCACATTAACAAGATGGTGCAGGAGAGCCAGGCCCAGTTCAGCACCATGTTCACCCAGGACACCACAGACAGCCAGGGGGACGCCAGTGCCGTCAGACACACCACAGAAAAGCTATAGGTCTAGGTTCCTGGAGGTCTGCTCTCTGTAGCGCCCCCTCAGTGGACTGCAGTCTACACCACTCCCAACTTCCTAAAGACTAAAATTAGGGCTTCATTCTAACTTTGGATCCACACACAGAATTTACATGTCAAAGGGAGATTTACATGGAAGTTTGAGTTACAGGAGTGGATCTCAAGGTAGGATCCAGCTCCCAAGGAATGTGATTGGCTGCTTTGTTTGGACAGTAAGCCCACCGTGTTTTTATCTTCTGCAAGACCACAATGTTTTTATATTTAACTTATTTCAAGAAGGAAAAATAAATGCTATTTTGCTATAACTTGTTAATAAATGTTTTTATTATTTTTTATATATATTTGAAAAAAAGGTGTGAATACATTGAACTGAGGACTGACTTGAAGGGTTCTTATAGAACCCATACTCGGCGTCATTGCAAAGCTATAGCACTTTAGGGTTTTTCTGTTCATTCATTCTGCTTATATTCTGCCTTTCTTGCCACTGTTCCTTTTCCATCTCACACTTTCAGGTCCATGACTTCTGTATATCAGGTATAAACCATGTTTTAGATGTATTTGTCTCTGAGCCAATGAGTTTATACTTCTTTGTCTCTGAGGGTTTGTCTGTCAGTGTCCGTTTATTAAAATGATATTTTCTGTCTTTTCTAAATCTCATATTCCCATTATTCCCAAGTCTCTAGAGGAGTACCAGGGGTCTGGGTCAAGGCCTCTTGTAGTTAGTGAATGTACTGAAAGTCTGTTGTTAAGCGTGTAGTTACTGTGATGAAAGCCTAATGTGTGTAATCATGGGTTATCTCTGCAGTGATCCATCCCTGTCTGATAGAGGCTCCATTCTATGTGACTTATACGTAATTTAAGAGCTGATGATGGCGGGAAAAGGTCCAGAGAGGATGGGACTCGGCGGTAATAAAGCAGCAGCAGTATAAGACTTAGCAGCACTGCCTTATATAGACTCTACAGCATATCAGCGGTGAAGCATGATCTGTTCTCAGCAGATAGAATGGAGACTCAATGTTCTTTAGTTTATCATAAAACCGTTATGAAAATGTTCATGAATTTTACCACTTTAAAATGAACATTCATCAATGATTTCAAAGTCACTACATTAATTACAATTTAAAAGCCAATTTCATAGAGTTACAAACTGGACTATATTTAGTAACTTACTTTGGAGAGATTGTGATTGGTTATAAATTGGCGTTTGGTAGTCTAAATTCTGTCTTTAACTGCCATTCCTGAAAGTCAGACTCTTCCCACACTCCAACACATTTTTCTCAGCTTCAGAATCATCTGCCTTCACCACATTTTGTGTGGTTATTCTTAGACACATTCACCGGTCAGTTTATTAGGTGTACCCATTTAGTACCGGTCAGGTTATTAGGTGTACCGGTCAGTTTATTAGATGCACCCATCTAGTACCAACTCGGACACTCCTTTGCCTCCAAAACAGAAAAGTTTGTTGCTCAATTGGTATCAAGGGACCTAACGTGTGCCAGAAAAACATTCCCCACACCAGTACACCACCTCCACCAGCCTGTACCAGGCAGGGTGGTTCCATGGACTCATGCTGCTAACGCCAAATCCTGACTCTGCCATCAGCATGATGCAACAGGAACTGGGATTTGTCGGACCAGGCAATGCTTTTCCAGTCCCCAATTGTCCAGTGTTGGTGATCGCATGCCCACTGGAGACGCTTCTTGTTTTTACCTGATCGGAGTGGAACTCCGTGTTGTCATCTGCTGCAATAGCCCATCTGTGACAAGGATCGACGAGTTGTGCGTTCCGAAATGCCGTTCTGCACACCACTGTTGTACTGAGCCGTTATTTGTCTGTTTGTGGGCCCGCCTGTTAGCTTGCATGATTCTTGCCATTCTCATTCGACCTCTCTCATCAACAAGCCGTTTTCGCCCACAGGACTGCCGCTGACTATATGTTTTTTGTTTGTCGCACCATTCTCGGTAAACCCTAGACACTGTCGTGGGCGAAAAGCCCAGGAAGGCGGCCGTTTCTGAGATACTGGATCCGGTGCGCCTGGCACCAACGATCATACCATGCTCAAAGTCGCTTAGGTCACTTATTTTGCCCATTCTAACGTTCAATCGAAAAGAAATTGAATGCCTCGATGCCTGTCTGCCTGCATTCGGAAGGTATTCAGACCCCCTTGACTTTTTCCTAATTTTGTTACTTTACTGCCTTATTCTGAAATGGATTCAATTAAACATTTTCCCCATCAATACCTTATAATGACAAAGCGAAAACAGGTTTTTAGATTTTTTTGCAAATGTATTAAAAATAGAAACTGATACCTTATTTACATAAGTATTCAGACCCTTTGCTATGAGACTCAAAATTGAGCTCAGGTGCATCCTGTTTCCATTTATCATCCTTGAGATGTTTCTACAACTTGATTGGAGTAAATTCAACTGATTAGACATGATTTGGAAACATTTACATTTACATTTTAGTCATTTAGCAGACGCTCTTATCCAGAGCGACTTACAAATTGGTGCATTCACCCTATAGCCAGTGGGATAACCACTTTACAAGGGGGGGGGGGGGGGGGGTAGAATGATTACTTTATCCTATCCCAGGTATTCCTTAAAGAGGTGGGGTTTCAAATGTCTCCGGAAGGTGGTGAGTGAATCCGCTGTCCTGGCGTCGTGAGGGAGCTTGTTCCAACCATTGGGGTGATAGAGCAGCGAACAGTTTTGACTGGGCTGAGCGGGAACTATGCTTCCGCAGAGGAAGGGGAGCCAGCAGGCCAGAGGTGGATGAACGCAATGCCCTCGTTTGGGTGTAGGGACTGATCAGAGCCTGAAGGTACGGAGGTGCCGTTCCCCTCACTGCTCCATAGGCAAGCACCATGGTCTTGTAACGGATGCGAGCTTCAACTGGAAGCCAGTGGAGTGTGCGGAGGAGGGGGGTGACGTGAGAGAACTTGGGAAGGTTGAACACCAGACGGGCTGCGGCATTCTGGATGAGTTGTAGGGGTTTAATGGCACAGGCAGGGAGCCCAGCCAACAGCGAGTTGCAGTAATCCAGACGGGAGATGACAAGTGCCTGGATTAGGACCTGTTATGCTTCCTGTGTAAGGCAGGGTCGTACTCTCCGAATGTTGTAGAGCATGAACCTGCAGGATCGGGTCACCGCCTTGATGTTAGCGGAGAACGACAGGGTGTTGTCCAGGGTCACGCCAAGGCTCTTCGCACTCTGGGAGGAGGACACAACGGAGTTGTCAACCGTGATGGCGAGATCATGGAACGGGCAGTCCTTCCCCGGGAGGAAGAGCAGCTCCGTCTTGCCAGGGTTCAGCTTGAGGTGGTGATCCGTCATCCATACTGATATGTCTGCCAGACATGCAGAGATGCGATTCGCCACCTGGTTATCAGAAGGACCGAGCCGGCCGGGAGGATAGGGGACACAGGGAGTCAAAGGATGCAGAAAGGGAGGAGAGGAGGGTTGAGGAGGCAGAATCAGGAGATTGGAGGGAGAAGGATTGAGCAGAGGGAAGAGATGATAGGATGGAAGAGGAGAGAGTAGTGGGAGAGAGAGAGCGAAGGTTGCGGCGGCTCGTTACCATCTGTGTAGGGGCAGAGTGAGTAGTGTTGGAGGAGAGCGAGAGAGAAAAGGATACAAAGTAGTGGTCGGAGACATGGAGGGGAGTTGCAGTGAGATTAGTAGAAGAGCAACATCTAGTAAAGATGAAGTCAAGCGTATTGCCTGCCTTGTGAGTAGGGGGGGACGGTGAGAGGGTGAGGTCAAAAGAGGAGAGGAGTGGAAAGAAGGAGGCAGAGAGAAATGAGTCAAATGTAGACGTAGGGAGGTTGAAATCCCCCAAAACTGTGAAGGGTGAGCCATCCTCAGGAAAGGAACTTATCAAGGCGTCAAGCTCATTGATGAACTCTCCAAGGGAACCTGGAGGGCGATAGATGACAAGGATATTAAGCTTAAATGGGCTAGTGACTGTGACAGCGTGGAATTCAAATGAGGAGATAGACAGATGGGTTAGGGGAAAAATTGAGAATGACCACTTGGGAGAGATGAGGATTCCTGTGCCACCACCCCTCTGACCAGATGCTCTCGGGGTATGCGAGAACACATGGTCAGACGAGGAGAGAGCAGTAGGAGTAGCAATGTTTTCAGTGGTAATCCATGTTTCCGTCAGCGCCAGGAAGTCGAGGGACTGGAGGGTAGCATAGGCTGGGATGAAGTCAGCCTTGTTGGCAGCAGAACGGCAGTTCCAGAGGCTGCCTGAGACCTGGAACTCCAGGTGTGTGGTGCGTGCAGGGACCACCAGGTTAGAGAGGCAGCAGCCACGCGGTGTGAGGCGTTTGTGTAGCCTGTGCGGAGAGGAGAGAACAGGGATAGGCAGAGGCATAGTTGACAGGCTGTAGCAGATGACTACAATAATGCAGAGGAGATCGGAATGAAATGAACTAAACATCTGGGAAAGGAGAGAGCAGGGCCTCCCTCACCAAAAAAATATAACTCTCCCAACTTCCACCTCAGAAACTATAATTGTTTCACTGAACCACCCGAATAAAACTCTCCCAACTTCCACTTTAGAAATTAGAATTGTTGTAAACTACAGCGGTTCAATGTTTCAAGGAATGGACTCAACTTACTTTATTCAGCTAGCTAACTATGACGCCATAGCTAACTAGCATGCTAGCATCCAATAACACACAGTTTAGCACCAATACTTGGTTACAACAAACTACCAATAGTGTGTTAACACACTAAACAGATAATTCGTGTCCGTGTCTAGTTCTTTCATAACGCAGCAATAATTAAACGTTGGCTAGCTAGCACAAAGATATTGTATTTAGCTACTACAGTACAGCTAGCTGGTAGTGTTGGCTAGCTAGCAATGGCTGCTGTGTTGACTTTGTTTGAAAAACGGCGTCGCTGCGAACGAATGTAGCTGGCTAAAAGGATATTGTATTTAGTAGCTACCGTTGCTAATAGCTACTCGCCAGCTAG